GTGGAATCTTTCTAGACCTTACCACAATTTTCTATTTTACAAATAGATTGATTTTTTATGATATCTAATTTAAAATAGGAACGCACAGGATTTGACTTTTCCCGAACCATTTAATAGATAACTAAAAAGCTATATGATGATAGAATCTTTTATTATATAAATAGAATAAATAAAAAAGCTTAATAGAAACAATTTTACCTTCATTTTTATTTTTTTAAATAACTTGGATTATAGAATTTAAATGACAATAAATAAAATGGACAGCAATAAATATTTTAATGATATAATAATTTTTTATTTATAAAAATCATATTTTTTTTAAATTCAGAATTCTAATATTTATTATTAAAATAATATGTTAGTTAGCATTTACCATTATCATATATGCAAAATAAAAAAAAATATGATTAAAGAATGGCATTTGTAATGAATATTTTTCTAAATCTGTATTTTTAAATAATAAAAATCTTACTATAAATCTTCAGTTTAAATAAGTTAACTAACATTGCATTAAATTATTTTATACTTTTATTTATTTGTGTTTTATATTAAATAGACTTACATTTAAAAATAGGAATTACATTATGATGTTAAACTAAATATAACTAGTATAGTTTAATTCAAATTACCCACTCTGATATATTCTATATAAACTAAGATAAACTTTTTTTGAATATATCAATTAATAAGAAATTATTGTAAAACAATATTATATAAAAATTGGTCAGTACTTTATTTCTATTAGATTTTAATATAATATGACAGAATAGGTAATTTAAGTTAAACTATAGTATTTATATTTAGTTTAACATCAAAATGTAATTCTTATTTTTAATTCACTGTAAGTTTATTTAAATATAAAACACATTAATAAATAAATAAAAGTATAAAAATAATTTAATGCAATGTTAATTAACTTATTTTATTATTTAAAAATACAGATTTAGAAAAATATTCATTACAAATGCCATTCTTTAATCATATTTTTTTATTTTGCATATATGATAATGTTAAATGCTAACTAACATATTATAATAATAAATAATTTATAATATTAGAATTCTGAATTTAAAAAAACAATGATTATAAATAAAAAATTATTATATCATTAAAATATTGCTGACTTTTTTATTTATTGTCATTTAAATTCTATGATCCAAGTTTTTATAATGAGATAAAAAATAAACCATATTATAAAAATGAATGTAAAAGGTACTTGATTTCTATTAGATGTTATTTATTAATAATAGAATTATATAATTTTTTCCTAATTATTAGCAGGTATTATTCTAAAAGCTTATTTAATATCTTATATATAAATTTGTTAATTTAGCCAAGAATAATTATGTCTGATTTTAAGATATCTTATCTAATTAGCAGATAAATTGTCTAATCTCATATAAATTAAGTATTTAAAGAAAAAACAACAAACCTGGTATTATTTGATATATAATGTTGATAATATAAAAATATTTAATTTGATATATAATGTTGATAATATAGAAATATTTAATTTGAAAAGAAATCACCAATTTAAAAAATGCCCCCAAGGAAAACTAAAATTTTAAATTTAGGTTAATAATTTTAAATTAATTATTTTTAAAACCCTTTTGAACCGGTTTAAACCGGTTCAATATATTTATAATTCGGTTCGCTCTTTTAATATTTTCTTAATAACAGTTCGGTTAAGGTTACGGTTCAGAAAATCATAACGGTTCATTCCGGTTTTGCGGTTCGGTTCGAACCCCTGGTTTTGAACCAATATTGGATCCGTTCGATGAATAATATGTGGATCGGCATAACCCTAAAAATTACTAAAATAAATGAAAATTTGTTTTGCATGATTTTAAAATATTTAATTACCAAATAAAAAAATCTAGTATAAGTAACCTCGTTTTGATGTTACAAAGATTTTAAATAGAGGGATCATAAATACCCTACCTAATGATAGAAGGGTTAATTCCTATATGACGCACTTATTAATAATACCATACCCCAATCTTTTACTTATTTTCCCTTCATCTTTTCACCTTTCAAATTTCTATGAATCCAAATCATTTTTAAAACTTTTACCAGAGACTCCTAGTCTGCTTAGTATCAGAGATGGTATATTTACGAATTTTAATTGGGATTAATGTTATTAAATGGCTCGATTTGAGCCGATTTTTTAAAACGGCTAAATCAATATTTTAGTCAGAAAAATATTGCCTAAGGCCACTTCCAAACACGACGTTTTTTCAAAACGTTTTCCGAGGCACGTTTTTCGCAATATTTTTTACTTCCAAACAGCAACGATTTATATTTTACAGCTGATTTTTTAAAAATGAATCTTATAACTAGATATTTTATTATGAGACATTATAAAAAAAAATTAAAAGTAAGTATAATTTATAAAGAAAGAGATCTGTATATGATCTATATCAATTTAAATGAGAATTTAAATGATTCGCAATTCTTTCACTATCTTGGATTATCTAGGAATGTTTTCTATTATATACTTAACAAAATTGAAACTAAAATTATACATAAACAAACAAATGCAAAAACAACAATATCTCCTGAAAAGAGATTATTTGTTACTTTAAGGTAATAATTTGCCCTACTTTCTAAAGCTATAGAGTGTTCAGTTGAAAATGCTGATAAAATTATATCTACATTACTCTTTTACATAATATTATTATTGATTATGATAAAATAGAATATACACCTAATATTTTACCTATTACTGAAAATTTAGGGATCAGTAGATCTTTAAATGCTTCAAGTTCTAATTCAAGAGAAATTAGAGAATTATTTAAAGACTATTTTAATTCTTAAATATATGTTTAATTTAACATTTTATCATTATATATTAAATAAATAAATTACTTTTGTATGTGTATATAAATTTATAAATTACTTTTGTATGTGTATATAAATCACTTATGTATGTTTATATAAATCATTTATTTTAATTTAAACTTATAAAATAATACATAACTATTTAAACATCAACATTTTCTACTATAATATTATTTATATAATTATAAATAAGAGTTTGCACATTAATTTTCATGGCGTCCTTAACTTCATTTGGCACCTTCTTTACATTATAAACCAAAGACAGGCACCATAATCTATCTGGGTCATTATCAATTTCTAACATTTTGTCAAAATATCTTTCCATTGGGTCTTTTGTTACTCTAGCCATTTTTAAAGGTCTTACATTCTCTATATTATCTGTGATATTATTTAGTGTCTTTTTTGGTGTGGTGGAAGTAGTAAGAAATAATAGTGAATCATACCATTTCCATAGAGTGCTAGCTTTTGCAGCATCCCCTGAATGCACTTCTTCTCTCTTTCTCTTTTCCTTTAAATAAGAATCTCTCAAATTCTTCCATTTTAATTTACAGACATTTGGGGATGAATCAAGCCTGGTAAATAATAAAGGATAAAAAATAATTTTATTTAAATTTATAAAAATTCATATTCCATGCTTACTAATAAATAGTATCTAATTAAAAAGTCTGTTAATTAAAAATTATTATTATAAAATAGTCAATATTTTCAATATAAAGTCTTGTTCTACTTTTTAGCACATAAAGTCCATAGTTCATCTACTAATAATCTATTAGAATAATTATCATTAGATTGGTTCCATAAATCGTCATGATCTTCTACAAAATTTATCAATTCAGATACAAAATTTCCTCTAAAATCATTTCATTTATTGAATAAAAAAAATTACTTATTCATTTCAATTGTATCAGACGCCATTTAATCGTTAAAAAAATCAAGCTAGTTTGTTATTAAAATATTCGCAAAATCGTATGCATGATAAAATCGTTTGGTTTGGAAGCACACATCTATTAAGCTTAATTTGTTATTTATCGCTTTGAAAAAACGTCGTGTTTGGAAGTGGCCTAAGCCAAATTTTTGCTAATAAATATTCAAACCTTTGTAATCTGAAAAATCTTCAGACTTGCATAATATTTTTCTTGATAAAATATTGAGTTAGCCGTTTTAAAAAATCAGCTTAAATCGAGCCGTTTAACAAAACTAATTGGAATCAATTTCACTGAATTGACCTCTGACTTTTCCCAAATATTTACAAATTTTACTATATTCAATATTATATACACAGAATACCATCAACGTGCATAAATCCATGTCATTTACAATTCCTACTTCATACATAAATAATTTTATTTGCTAATAATCACCTCCCTCAATAACTCGAGTTTATATTTCTTACATTTTCACTGGTATATTGAACATATTTTTTAATTCAATCAGGTTTTGAAATAGTGTTTATTAGGCTTATTTATATTATTACAAGATCACAATTTTGATCTTTAGTAGTCCCATGTATCTTTTTTCATTATCGTGATTAAATTGCTTTTCATATTATTTTCCGTTCTCCCACAGCAATCATTCTGACTGACGTATCTAATTATTTGTTATATATATTAGATGAATTGAACCAAAACTTTCAAAAATGGTGCATTTCAATCGTTATGATTAATTCCAATTACCCTAAAATTAAGCATATTTTTATCATTAAAATTTTTTACATCCTTTTTAATGATGAATATTTAATTAATACATTATTATACTACAATATATTTGAATGCACTAATACCAAATGTTTGCATATATCAAAAAAACCTATACATATTTCAAAGCCCTGCATCTGACCAGCTCAGATTTTGTTCGCCCAACTTTAAGAAACTGGAAATTATTTTTTTTTATAATAATCACCAAATCTACCCACTCTAAAAAAATTCTCCCAAATCCACCTCACCTGACTCAACTTTGGGTGATTGAATCTCGAACTACCTCATATTCAGGGCTCTCTAGTTTCAAATTGAAGAATTATTTATTCGTATATCGAATAATATAAGTTTTCATATTTTTTACCATTCAATTCTGAATAGGTCTAATTATAGTACATATTGATATTGAAATATATCTATGTAAAATTAACTACTAAAATTAATCCTTTAAAATCAAACCTACAGAAACGCGGAATTAAACGCCAAGCAGACACTACTACGCCTAACGCCATAACCAATCTCGACGTACAGTTGAGTGATTCGACTGAGCCTAGCCTGAAAATTAATCAAATGATGTCCCATGACCTTTCAGAATCTGGTTCCATCAATTTTAACAATAGCCGGAGAGAGAGTGGGCGGCCTATTAAAAAGCCTACCAAAGATTTACCAGATTCTCAACAAGTTATTAAAAATCTTAAATGTTTTCTACAGACCGGGAGTATGGTATAAATATATTTCGTTCAATTGGATAATAACCCTGAATTTTGATTCACTTTATTTAGTGTTATTAAGCGGTTAATGGCAAAATTTAGTAATTTATTACTGAAATCTATAGACTTTGGCAATATTTTTCTAGCTAAAATATTGATTTAATCGTTTTTAAAAATAAGCTCAAATCGATCTGTTTACACTAATTTATTGCATATTTATTTTTAGCACTTGAAGAAAATAGACCGATTTTCATTACCTGTTCAAATGAAATATTGCACTGATTTAATCAAAGAACTCTTCTCAAAAAAACATCACGTAAGTTATAAAGATTGCTCAATTTTTTAACATTACATTAATATTATAATTAAATGTCACATTTTATTTATAATCATGTAATTTAGTTAATCATTTTATTTATTTAGGCATATGCCTGGCCGTTCTACACTCCCGTAAATGTTTTGGAGTTAAACCTACCAGATTATCACGACATAATTAAGAAACCCATGGACCTGGGGACTGTTAAAGTATTTTATAAATCACATAATTTATAAGATTTAATATAATTTTCCTAACCCTGATATTGATATCAATTTTATATTTTAATTTCCAATATTTGTTTTATTTTGCATACTCTAATAATTTTTCTTCAGAAACGTGTTGAAGCTAAGGAATACAAGAATCCGATCGATTTTGCCACCGAAGTTCGCTTGATATTCACGAATTGTTACAAATATAACCCTCCCGATCATGACGTCGTGGCCATGGCAAAAAAGTTGCAGGTATTTATTGCTTAATATTTGGCATTGTTATTTTTTTAAATTAAGTGAAAAATGTAAACGGTGCTCTTCCTCACTATACACACATTGTAAGAGGATTTTCGGCCGACTCCTTTCGATTTCAAGAAAAATTTGTATAATCGCTGCATATTAAGACCAAAAACGAAATGTTAGCTCTAACTTTTATATTTCCTAATTAATAGAGGTCAAAAGTGCAAAAATCAACCATATTTATCTTTCTTGCCAATCACATTTTGTAATATATTAGAAACTTCAATTTAAATAAATATATATTATTTATAATTAAGTGAAGGATGCTAACAAAGGTGAGGGGTATTAATTTTTTGGATGGCTATCTTATTTCTAGTCGAAATTTTTAAATTATTATTTGAAGGACTTCTTGCCCTTTGATTTTTATCATTTTAAAAGTAATAGCCCTAGGAATATTGCGCATACAAGTACATTCGGCTTGCCCAAAAACGGGTGGAGGGCTCATTTTTCCCCTATATAACTTGACTATATAAAATCTTAAACACATATATTCTTTTATTCTCAGCAGTTATATAAAATATATATCTTAAATAATTATCATACATCTATTCAAAATTTTGACTAAGGTCTATTTATAGTAAACGTGTTTATTTAAGCTTTGCTTTATTTAACGCTATCGAAATCACAGATGATTTTACAGATTAAAATGACACATTAAGCCTTAATATTTTTTATAACGCAAACGCAAGCAACGGAGCGTTATGATGTTAACTATGATAAAATTTAAAAAACATATGTTGCGATCAGATCCGATGATAAAAATTATGCGTTTTTATTATAAAAATAATAGTGGATTCGATAAAAAGGTGTATGATATTTCTGAAATATTATATAAAATATTTATTTATTTTAAAAATATTAACGCTATGAAAAATCAGCTATGCAACGCTTGTAACGCGTTTACTATAAATTCAGCATTATAAAAAAGAATTGGTTTTTGTATATTTTAGTATCGTCTGCCTTTTTATTAGGGTTGTGCTGATCCAAATATTTTTCACCGATGGATTTGATATTGGTTCAAAACCGATCCGATGCCGATCTGATATTTATATTGATTTTAACCACCCCCCTTTGAACCAAATATAATTAAGAAATCATTATATTTTACGCGATTTAATTTTTTATTTCTACAATAATAAAAAAAATTTGGTAGTATTAAATGAATTTTTCATTATTCCTCCCCGTGAAATTAGAATTTCGCATATAACGCATTTTGCAAAATTATCTTTGTCTTTTGTAAAATATTTCCATAATTCAGATACCATATTTAAAAAAATTCTTTTATTTATAGTATAAATAATAAATTTGGCGTTATTATTTAAAAAAAATTTCCTTTCTATTTTTATAAAAAAACTTTTAAAATACTATAAATATATTTTAAAAAATAAATAAAATTTAAGGGGCATTGTGCATTTGCATTGTTAAAAAAAAATATTTGGAAATATTATTTCAAAATAAATATACATAAAATAACAAAAAAAGAAAAGTAAAAAGATCGGATCATGTTTTACAGGTATCGGCCCAAGCCGATATTTTTGGGAAACGCTAAATATCGGTGCAGATCCGATCCGATATTTAATATCGGCACAGCCCTACTTTTTATTTTATTATTTTCGAAATATTCAATTTTAAAGATAAGTTTATAATATTAAATTAAATTTACATATATTTAAACAATAGGAAAGAATTTTATCATTTTTATCTGCGTACTAAGTTTTTATAGAACGGGGGGGGGCGTAGATCAACGCGCAAAATGAAGGAAAATGTATTGAAAAAATTAATCAGTTTACGTTTTTTAAAATAGTATTTAACGTCAATCCATTATTTGACCAATTTGCATGATGCCATTCGAAATGCATTATTTACGTTTGCAACATAGTCAAACACTCAATAATACAATTTATATTAATTTATTTTTTTCGAAAGTATGGGGTTTAAGTAATTTTTATCTCATTAGGACACTTTTATTGGCCTCGATAATTGTTAATTTTTCATAATCTATTTTTCTGAGAAGGACCATTTGTTTAGGGAATCTATATTTTAATTTAGAAAAGTATCCATTGTATTTTTTAAATTAAGACTATTCCAACCGTTTGAGCGTAAAATTTTAAGAGCTTTTTTGCAAAATAAATATGAATATCCTATAATGCAATTATCTCTTGGCACAGATAATTTGCAATTCTTCCTTACCAAAATGTCATAGAATTTAATATGTAATGTCTAAACAATGGGTCAGGCCACTTGATCATACAAATCTTGTTTGCTGACGCGAATATTTGTATTTAAATTGCTAAAAATGAAAAAATATTTTGTATTTATTAAGATTTCCAACGAATATATATACTTTTCTTTATTTTTTTTATAAATTGAATTTTAATTGCAAATTCATCATTTATTTAATTTAAATATTAAGCTTCGATACAATCTAATTTAAAAATTAACACCTTATTCATAATCTCATTTTATATATAAAATAAAGTATTTATGAAAGTGAAAGTGGTAATATTAATTTTTTGAAGATGATGACATAGAATTAGAAGAATATAATTTCAATCCACTTCCTCTTCGTAATGGCCATTTCCATGTTTTTTCCCCTAGCATTAAGGATTTTGGAGTGGGTTTTTTACAATCGGATGCCCTTCCCAAAATCAACCCCTTTAGGTGACTTTTACACCCCGTCGAGGGGACCGTGATCATATTCTAAACCTAGACCATAGGGAACCTTTCAAACTTTCATTGGCTACCAGACAACATTGTCATTCCCCTGCCGTGTTGATGCTGAAGGTAGGATTTTGGGAAAGATAGATTTCAATTCTATAAGTTATATTTATTCACTAAGCTATTGTGTTTATAAATTTTGGCAGAGAATCTGTAACACTAACAACATCCACATCCTCTACATGTGATTTAACAACTTATGATGTAAAGTATAAGTGTCTTTTTACCAACTCTCATGACCATATTTTTAAAATAGATGGGTATTATATAGAAAAATAATAATTTTATCATATGCTTTAGGATGTATTCCTCTTTACGTTAAAAGTAAATGAAATTATGGACAGTAAATATTCTATTCTTATATGCGGAGGAAGACGACTATTTTAGTTTTAAAAATTTATAAAATGTTAATAAAACTTTTGACAATGTAGAAATTAAATTATTAAAATAGTACATACTAAATCTATCGGCTGTCAGCCCGAGTTGTAAAAATATAATTGGTGGCTGATGGCACGCAACTTTTTAGCCTTCATCAACATTTGTAAATTTCCTCCAGAAGCCAAATACATTTCAATAGGACAAAAACGACGCAAAGGTATGTTCAATAATAAATGAGTTTTAAATGTAGAGATGATATAGCAATTTGTTTTTATGATGTCTTTAAAATTTTTGATTTTTCATTCCTGTATTATCGTTTGTTTGAAATGGTAACAAGTCAGCATAACATAATAATAATACTTAGTTACTTGCTAGAAACCATTTTTTAGAGATTTTAGTATCTGCTTGGTGTTTTTGGTATAAAAAAACTTCTTTAAATCTTGAAATTTTGATGAAATATCTTCTTTAATGATATAATCAGAAGTTAAGTGTTTTAACAAATTTCCCTTGCTGCTAAAAATTTTATAGCTAGGATGAATTTTACAAAACATAATAAATTATAATTTATGATAGATTTATATATAATATTTAAAATAAATATACTGTGAGGGCTTATTTGAATCATTATCTTCTGCAGCAGCCTTTTATAAGCAATATTTACTGAAAATTTGTTAGAATTTATTGAAATCGTTTTATTATCTCGTTTTAAATATAAAAGTTTAAAGAATTTCCATACAAATAATTTTTTATTATTTGCTGTTATAATATTAAAATTGTTTATGGATTTATTAAATGCAGTTGATTTTAGAAAAATGTAAAATTATAATTTTTGTATATATTGAAACAACCCCCATTGTAATTCAAAATTTTTATCCTGATTTTTATGATAATTTTTTAAAGTGGGAAAAGCCACCAACCTTAATCCACCTACCCCTTAAATCAAGGTCTTTAATTTCTAATTTTTTAACAACACTTATTATGGAAGTTAATTCAAATTTAAATTCCCTTAAAGCTTGGGAGAATCTTTTAACCTTTCCTTTTAAAGTCTTAATTAAACCTACAGATAAAAATAAAAAAACTATTTTACATGAATGTATAAAATATAAAATAGACCATTTTTATGATTTAGAAATGGAAAATTACGTTCCTGATGTAAGGGCAACATCTAATTTTACCCATAAATGTAAGATTATACAAAAAAAATAGACCAAGGGGACGTATGTGGAGCTCTTAAATTAGCCTCATCTTATGATAAATTGGCTCCATTTGATGAACATACTTTTACTTTACTAAAAGAATTGCACCCTCAGGCTTTTCCTGAAGATCTTCCCATCCCTATAAAATCTAATTTAATCGAAATAGATAAGGAAGAACTTATTAAAACAATTTTATCTTTTAATAAAAACTCTGCAGGGGGAATTGACGGTTTTCGCCCCTCTTATTTCCAATTTTTAATTAACCTTAAAAATCCTCATAAAGATACATTTGTAAATTCATTGGTAATACTTAAACAATGATTTACCCAGTCAAATTCACCAAATCCTTTTTGGCGCAAGATTAATTGCTTTTACTACTGATGGTGGAGTTCGGCCAATCGCAATAGGGTCTTTTTTTAGGAGACTATTAGCTAAGATAATCGTTGAGCGCATCAAACCTGATGCTTCAAAAATGTTCCAAACATATCAACTAGGCTTTGGTACTAAAGGGGGATGCGAAATAGCCGCTCACTCTCTTCGCATATATATCGAAGATCCTCCTCCAGACGCCGTAGTCTGTAAGCTTGATTTTAAAAATGCTTTTAATTCCTTATCCAGAAAAACTTTTTTAAACATTTTTTATGAAAAATTCCCAGTTTATGCAAGATTTATTGAACAGTCTTATGGCTGTAGAACCCCTCTCAAATTCGGAGAATATACAATTCCTTCTGACGAGGGTATTCAACAAGGAGACCCTTTGGGCCCTCTGATCTTTAGTTTAGGTATACATAACTTAGTTCATTGTCTAAAATCCTCTTTTAATTTAGATTTATACATATGGTATCTAGATGATGGTACCATTTGCGGACCTTCTAAAAATATTCTTGCAGCGATAGATTATATAGAGAAGAATTCTCTAAACATAGGCCTTACTCTAAATAAAGCTAAATCGAAAATATGTTTTTTAAATTCAAATACTCTCAAAGTCCAAGGGTTTAAAATCATCAAAAAAAGTGAAATTAATCTTCTAGGTTCACCTTTAAGCATTTTTTCCAACTGTGAGGTGTTCGTGGAAAAATTTTTCGAAGGCTTATCAGGACTCGAAACTATTTTAAACGAAATTCCTTCACACCAGAGCTTTTTTCTTTTAAAAAAATATTTATTTTTACCAAAGATAGTACATATTTTTAGATCTTCTTCCTTTTAATAATGAAATTATTAATCGTGTTCATGAATTTTTTAGAAGTTTATTAGAAAATATTTTAAATATTAAATTGGAAGATTTTAATTGGGGTTTCTCACAATTACCCTCGAAAATGGGTGGTTTAGATTTATATCCTTTAAACCTTCTATCTCTTTCCTCATTTTTGGCATCGCGTTTGATGAATAACGCCATGATATCTTCTTTTATCTCTCCTAAAGATAACCTTTTAAACTCAGCCTTGACAGCCTGGACATCTTTAGCTCCACCTGAAGCTGTCTTACCCACGATCTTAACACACCAATCTCTTTTCGAACCTTTAATTAAAAAATTTTTTAAAATAATCTCATCAAACCCCCCTTTGGAGTATATTCAACTATTACAGAATGCTGACTGTACTAGTGGCTATGAATGGTTGGAAGCATTACCAAGTCGTAACCTAGGTAACCTCTTATCAGATGAACAATTAAGAGTTGCCATAGGCCATCGACTTGGATGTAACATTGTTCAACCACATACATGCATCAAATGTAAAACATTAGTTGACTCCAAAGGGAGACATGGTCTATATAGTCAAGGCAGGCATGCAAGGCATGCAGCAATTAATTTAGCTATTAGCCGTTCTCTTACCAGGGCCCGAATACCAAACATCCTGGAGCCTACAAATTTATCGTTAGATGATGGCTTAAGACCAGATGGTTTAACTTCCGTGCCTTGGTCTTTAGGGAAATCCTTAATTTGGGACTTCACATGCGTATCTTCTTTCCCAAAAAATTTAAATTCTAATCCGGTTGATATAGCCGAGAAAAAAAAACAATGAAATATTCCAACAAATTATATTTTTACACCGATTGTCATCTCTTCCCTTGGACATATGCCAAGTGGAACTTTAAAGTTTTTAAAAAATATAGGAGATAAGATAAGAGCCCTTACATCAGAACCTAAAGAATCTTATTTCTTAAAACAAAACCTCCAAATCATAATTTTAAAATATAATTACACATGTTTTTTGGGAACTTGTAGTCCCACCTCGGTTTTTATATAATATTTTATTTTATATTATTTTAATTTAGTATTTTAACGCTATGTATTATTTTACACGAAAGGAAAAAATAAAGATAATTGATATTTGTAAAAAAAAAAAAAAAAAAAAATTTTTTGTATATTTGGATTTTCGTTTGATTGTATCTTAAAATGATATTAAAATAATTACGATGTTAAAATAGATGGAAAATAAGATTGTCCAATTATTACAATAAAAATGTATAAAATATGAAAATTATCTTTAAAAAAATTTATTGCCGAGCATAATTTGATATTTGAAAAACTTATGTTTTAATGGATTATCATTTTAAATATAATATTCTTTTTTTAATTTTTAAATGCGATTTATTTGAAATTTTGTTATATATTTGCTTTATTTTATTTTAAAAATATCGTTTATTAAGTAAAAAAATTGAAAAGTGGTATTATAAAAATCAACTTGCAAAAGTATTCTTTAAAATGATTTTTTTTCTTTAAAATTTGCTCATCCCTGTAGAATATTTATTATAGAAAGTTGAAAATATAGAACTGCCCAATAATCGTTATTTCTGAATCGGAAAATTTAGTGTAAAATTTAAAAGGGGAGTTTTTAAAGATCTTAAAATTTTCCGAAAATTATTCATACGAATCGCAAGAGTTCTTTAGGAACGATTTTCGGGATACAACTCATCCCCAAGTAGCCTATTTGATGAAGAAAAGTTTAAGAACGTGAAATATTATAGTTTCTGAATTCTTACACTATAATACAACCTCTGTGTATTTATTGCAAAAATACTTCAAAAAAATTTTAATCGGAAAATTGGGTCTCAGTCAAAAATGGTGGCCTTATTTTTATGACTTGATAGAAAAATTTATCAAACATTTAAAAGAAAGGGTTTTGCCATACCTCTGCGTTCATGGATACTATCGCATCAATCATAATAGTAGAAAATATTTTATACTATTCTAGGCTTCACCTCCAAGTTCAATAATATGAAATATAAGGACTCAGAACATGTTAATTATAATAAAAAAAATTTAAACCAATGTATTTTATACATATATATATGCAATAATGTTTTAAAGAATAAAACAATATTTCTCCCATTTTTACATATAAATATGATACCATCTTTAATTTTTTTTTGCATTTGGAAGTGATAAACAAGAAAGGTAAAAATGGTTGATTTTTGCACATTTGAACCCTATTATTATAGGAAATATAAAAGCTTATCAGCTAAAATTTAATTTTTGAGTTTTCTATAACATGTAACATTCATACAAATTTTATTGAAATAAAAAGGGGTGGGGTTGTGAGTTGTGTGTATGATTTGACATAGAATGACCTAATTGTAAATTATGATTTTTGTGGATACAGGACGTTTTCGAGATGCGTTATGCCAAGATACCAGAGGAGCCTGCTTTCAACGCAATGGACGCGGAGGATGGCTTTACCCCCAGCGTTTACTACAACATTAATCGAAGTGCTGGGAGCGCATCTCCTAGCTCGCCTCCGCGCTCACGTCCACGAACCCCATCACCTGCCTCTTCATCTACGTCATCATCTTCGAATTTCAGTGCAGCGGAGAAGCAAAAGCATCTGGCTGTCCTACAGGCACAGGTGTTATCCGTTTTGGCTTTATTCTCAGTTTTTTGCTGTTTAGCTAAAAAAATTAATTTTTGACATGCCAAATTTATAATGTTTTTAAAAAAGTAATATGCATTTTTTTCTAGAGGTAAAAAAACAAACGAAATACAGATTTTTTTATTACTATAATCCTTAAAGAAAATGTAATCAACCTATTTTATTGCATTTTTTTCGATATCGCAAATATAATCGACCAATATTTTGTTGGAAAATTATCATTGTCATTATAACTAACATCAATTTATTTAAAAAAAATTTTCAATTTTTCTTAAAAAAATTAGTTATATAAATTTCGTTTTTGATGTTTCAATATTTACTCATGGTTGGCAAGCCAGTCAATTGTGGCCAAATACTCGAAAATATTACATCTTAAACGAGTAGTTATTTAATTTACAAATATCCATTATAAAAAAATTGCTAAATTTTTTATAAGAATATATCAAGTGTAGTATTTTCCCGCTTTATAAATCAAAATACCATATCATCTATTTTGGCTGCAATTAGTTTAACGAGGTGGGCTTCTTCAATAAATATATACAACAAATACAAATTTGTAAAATGGCTTTTCTTCACTCACTGTTTATATGTCCGGATCAATTTTGAACCATACAATATTTTCTTAGACGAAGAACAATTTTTGATAAATAATTTGAAGTTTTTAAATAGGGCTGTGCCGATATTAAATATTATTGGCACCGATATTAAGCGTTTCCCCAAAATATCGGATCGGGCAGATACATGTAAAAACCGATCCGATCCTATCTTTTTACTTTTCTTTTTTTTTGTTATTTTATGTTATGTATATTTATTTTACATTATTATAATATTTTCTAAATAATTTTTTTAAACAATGCAATACAAATGGACAACACCCTCCAAATTTTATTTCTTTTTTAAAATAGATTTATAGTATTTTTAAATTTTTTTTTATAAAAATAGAAAGGAACACCCAAAGTTTTATATATTTTAAATCTTTTTAAATAATAACGCCAATTTTATTATTTATACTTTAAATAAAAGAATTTTTTTAAATATGGTATCTGAATTATGGAAATATTTTACAAATGACAAAGATAATTTTGCAAAATGCGGAATCAATTGAGTCTGCCTTCAGTACGGCAGGGGATATAGATAGTCCATATCGTAGAAGCTTATTGGCAGAAAATCTAGAGGCTCTCATATTTATTTTAAAAAAATCTAATTTATTGTAATTTTATATATTTACAATTTTATAATTCATACCAACATAAAATGGTTATATTATTAAATATATATTATTTTAATTATAGTCTTAATCGTAGAAATAAAAAAATTAAATTAAATGCATAATTCGATTTTTTGCATAAAAAACATTTGGTTCAATAGGGGGTGGTGAAAAATCAGTATTAATATCAGATCGGTTTTGAGAATATCGGATCGGTGAAAAATATGAGGATCGGCACAGCCCTATTTTTAAATATACTTAAACTATTGGCTATGCGATTTTTGAGAATTCAAAGGGACAAATGCACGTTGTCTAAAGTAAAGAATGAGATGTTATTTTTAGAACAATAGTTAATCATGCCAAGACCCAGTATTTTCTCCACCAGAAGAAAAAAGAATTATAAATATGTTTGAAATAAGAGAAACTAAATACAACAGCTCATAATGCGGCCTACTTATTACATCAATAATATGGACAACATCTCACGAAAAATGAATTCAACGAGGTTAATGGTATGATGACAGAGCTAGAAATTCTGCTAATCAAGCTATCAAACATTTAAGAGATCGGCATCAAGCTGTAGAAGCGGGCTTTGTTCATGTTGCCCTTTAAGGAAGTAGCAAATATATACATTAACCCTTCTATATTCAATTTATTCTTCAGATTGATCCATCTTGGGTAATATTCATTCAAAGAACCGAAATCGATTGAAAACTCTAACTACGGGAAAATTAGTTAGTGTTTATTATAATTTGATTACTTAAAAACATTAAAGAAAATGATTATTTAATTGAGCCATAAAACGACTCTTCCACAGAAAGTGAAAACGATACAATACTTCAAGAATAAGTCAAAATATTACTAAATTTAATAATATGCATTATTTATGAATATATTTTGTATATTTGTTATTATATTTGCATAATAGTGATTACTATAATAAAAACATTTAATTAAATTTTACTCAAATATCCAACCCTGATTTCACTAAAATAATTTTAAACATGTTTTTTTGTTCAGTTTTTCCCCGTTATTTTATATTAGATAAAAAAAATTATTTAATATTTTTTTTTGTTTTTTTGCATCCCTATTTCTTCCTTTCTTGACAGCTACGTAGCATACACGAACAATTAGCCACTCTCACAGCTAAAGCCACCTCCAAACACAAGAAAAAAAAGAAAAAAAACAAGGACAAAAGTGGAAGCAATGATAAAGACCCTGCTCGATTCCAGAACCCTTCTGATACATCGGCTCCCTACCCTTCTCTCTCTAATAGCACACTTACCATATCAGCAGCTTTACATACGAAGAAAACTTCGAAAAGCTCCACCGTTGAAGGGGATCACAAGATACCGCTCGGCTCTCACCCATCTCTGCTGGTGGATCTTCAGCACGAAACACCTATCTCTTCCCACAAGACTTTGCCAGGTTGGTCATGTTTATATATTGTATTACTTTAATTGTATATGTAATGTTTGTCACAGGTATAAGGGATAGGGAAAAAGTGGAAAAGTAATTTTTTTTATAAAAATTAAATATAAATCAAAATCAGTGCCAGGTCTACCTTGCACAAAATAATTTTTTAAAATTTGGCCTGAGTTTACCAGGCCGCCTGTTTAATAAGAAGTAGTAAAAACGATTAATTGTATTTAATTATAGTAATACTAGCTAATTTCCGTCAAGAATGACGGGGTATTTTAACTGTTTTTTATTTAAATAGTTAATCTAACAAATAAAATATTAAACCTTTTTTGAAATGAGAATAGTTGGAGGCATATGAGTAATTAAATTATTTTGTTTGGATATAATTATAGATGTAAATTTTATATTATTTAATTTGTTCCTTACTCTTTGAGATTTAATTGAAATTGACTTATCCTAGATTAAATATATATTAAAAAAGAATACAGAAAATAATGTAATGTTACATCTTTTTTTGAAAAAATTGAATTTCTAGGTATATGTGAATTTATATTCTTCATGATTATTCTTATCTATATAAAATAATATAGCTAACTTAAAAAAAATATATAAATAACATTGTAAATTATTATGTCACAAAAAATTAGCGTAATTTTCTGGTTTTTACCTTAGAGAAAATTGAAATGAATATAATAGGAAAATGAATTATATAAGCTTGATATATATGATTGATGAATAGGAATATTTATTTGAGCTTAAATTGGCTAAATTTAATATATCTTTATTTGTAGAATCTAAATTTTAATAATTACTTGGTTTAGTTATTATGAAGATAAATAGATTTACCATTTTATTTTAATATATATATATTGAGAAATACTAAAAAATTAAATCAAAACTATTTTACTTTAATTTTAAAGATAAATATTTTACTTGAAATAATATAATAGGAAAATGAATTATATAAGCTTCATATATTTGATTGATGGATAGGAATGGTTATTTGAGTTTAAATTGGCTAAATATAATATATCTTTATTTGTAGAATGTAAATTTTAATTATTATTTGGTTTAGTTATGAGGATAAATCGATTTACCATTTTATTTTAATGTATATATAAATAGGGAAATACTAAAAAATTAAATCAAAACTATTTTACTTTAATTTTAAAGATAAAATTAAGTTCATTAAAAAATAACCCAATAAAAAAGAAAAAAAAATTTAAACCAATAAGATAAGAGCTTAATAAGACAATAAAATAAATATTGATATAAACAAATTAAGTTAATTAAAAAATAAATGTTAGTTACTCTATATAAAATAGTTTCATATATAAATAAGATGAATTGTAACACAAAATTTAAGATAGAGAGGGCTGAGTAGGAAAGAACGTTTGCTTTTGGAACGTTAAGTTTGGGGATCGAATCTAGTTGATGTATAAAAAAGAATTTTTTTTAAAAAAAATAAATAATTTAACATTAGAGGTATATAGACTCCTTCGATTTATTACATTAAGATGATAGGAAAGTTGATAGAAAAAAATAATACAAAAACGTTCATATCTTGATTACGAAGATTATATATATTAGATAATTTGAATAATATAATGGCAGATATTTTAGTATCATTATTGCTAAAATGTTTGTTCATTTTGTTTAAAGGAACATGATAAACTATTTAAAAAATTATGCCTCAGTAAAAATAGTTTATCATTTTTAGGTAAGGACACTTTTGCCTTTCCTTAAAGACAGGCTGCATTCAAAGTGGAGACGGATCCGTTTTTTACATCCGTACCTACAAAAGTCAATCTCATTAAAAATAATATATATTGATTTTCATTTTTAAAAAATAACGTTATAACGCTCTATAAAATTTGCCGGATCAAAAAGTCAAAATGTTTTGATTTCAAAATTTGCCGGATCCGTTTTTAAGGCTGAAGGTATCGGAACGGACACACTTTGAACATATATATCATTTTTAATGAGATTGACTTTTGACGTAATGGATGTAAAAAACGGATCCGTCTCCACTTTGAATGCAGCCTAAGGAATACTACTCTCAACTACCAATAAATTACCATGTTAATTATTTTCATTTTTTAAGTTTTATTTTATATTTACGACTTTTATCTATTAAATACATCATGTTCTAGGTAAAAGGTGGAAGAGTAAAAATCAATTCGATTTAAATGGTTAAAAAAATAAATTTTAAAAAGGGTCCGGGTTCGGGTCCATTAATAAATTTAAAAAGGACCCGGGTCCAGGTTCAGCGGGAACATAAAAATAATGACTAAAATATGACTTTTTTTCATTCATTTTTTATTATATTTCAATATATACACATTTATGATTCGTAATGAGATAATTTATATTTTAAATATTTTATTCAATCGCACAATCATGATATCTTCTAAAATATCATCCTTCAGATTTCCACGTAAATTAGACAAAATATATTTCAACGATGAAAATCCACGTTCTACGCTTACCTAAAATAGATAATCATTTTTATAATACATAAATTATTGTACTTGTGTCGCAGGTACAGCCATGACGATTCTAGACAAGGTATATAATTCTGGATATATTGAAGAATTTTCCTCCCAGAATTTTAAAATGTTTGCATCTCTATTTAATCTCTTAACTTCCGAGAACTTTTCTATTAAAGATACAATAGATATTTTTTGCTCCTTTCTATCAGATGATAATTTAATTTTTTTTTCTCTATCTAATAGCAAAATTTCCAGATCATCAATATCGTTATCATTATCATTGTTATCGAACCAGTAGATATTGTTGTAGCCTTCAATATATTGTAAATAATAGAGTTTTGGGTATGCCATAAATCTTCAAGATGGTCTATAGCCATTTGTTTTTGCTCACTACTTAATAAAACCTGATATCGCGGGTCTAAATATATCGAAGCATATACAACACTATTTTGTAAATATTGTTGCTCTCTTATATTCATATTTTCTAATACTTCATTTGAAAAAGAACTTGTTAATTTTCCTCACTCTAATCGACATCTTAACCATATGCCATAAAAATCTGATAAACACAATGTTCTGCTTGAAGTTTTAATGTTGTTATTTTTAAAGGAACCAGCACACTAGTAAGCTCTTTTACTTGATTCCAATCATCTTCTGACAAAATGATTTCACATGCTCCTATGATAAAATCGTTACAGAAATCTTTCAAACTTAATCGCTCTAGCATCATACATATAGAGGACCAACATGTTGTGCAATCTAAAATTGCCATTTACCTTTTCATGGATTTTAATATTCTAACAATTGTGGGAGTTCTTAAATATTTTACAACATCCCTTACTTTATCAATTATAGTTTTAAAGTGACTATTTTTTAGGGAATCATTAATAGCCAATTGTAGCGTATGGGCTGCACATCTGATACAGTATATTTTTGTGGAGAAATCTTGTTATTTCCTGCAAATCAATTTCACTTATTTCCTCATAATTATCATCATCATCATCTATATCATCAATTTCTTCCAGTGAACATTCATTTAATAATTTGATTGATTTTACTAGATTGGCACCATTATCCTATAGGAATATGAAATTTATTTAATGTTTCTAATATCATTCTTTTTATATTTTCAGAAGTTGAACTCTCTTTAATCTCCTTCATAGCTAATTTCTTAATTTTATATTATTTCCTTTTATATACTGTATATTTATTCCTGGAATATTTCTTCCTAATCTTTGGGCAGAATCAATTTTTAATGAAATTAATTTGTTTTTTGTTTCTTCTATTATTTTTGCTTGTATTTTTTTCGATTCATTAACCACTAAGTCCTTAATTTTAAAACGGTTAATTGATGTTCCAATTGCCTTACTAATAGGATCAATAATTTTTTTTAAAACAGAATCCTCAATAATATGGAAAGGCCTTCCATTTATTGTAACAAGCTCAAATAAAGCATTCATCAAATTCTCCTCAGACATTTGAATATGAATGCTTTTTTTAAAGCAAAATTTTTCAATATTATTTTCATCCTTTACAATACTGACAGTAGACTTTGTAACAATGTCTTCATCCAAAAATTTGGTTTTTCTATTTAAATATTCCTCAAAGATTATAGAATGATGTCTTTTTAAATGTCTTTCCAGGTTAGTAATTGTGTGAACCTTTTATCATTAGGTGGCAGGTTTTGCACTCAGAATCCCCTTTAGTTGCATTATATTACTCTAACAATATATCTTTTAGTTTCATACTAAAAAAAACAAAATTTAATTTGTTTAAAACTTAAAAGTATAGACACATAGAATGTATATATTTTTTAATCAGGCTGCATCCAAAATCTTAAAAATATAAATAAATCAATTTTGAAGAAAAAAATTACATAATCTATTTTTAATGTAAAAATAAAATAGTGTCCAATTTCATGAAATTTTTATAAAAAATTAGTAAGTACAATTCTTAATGCTGTTAATTTTATAAATTTACTACCCAAACGATTATAGCCTTTTATATTAATATATATTAGTGTCAGAAAATAATTTTATAGAAAGGTTAAGAATGCACAGGAACCTCTGGTGCAAAAATGACTTAAAAATTGGATATTCTGTAGAAAATAGGAAAATTTGGGAGGAAATAGGAAGAACAAAACTTGAATTATGATCAAGTGATAAAGAAAATTTTAGCTGTAAAGGCTAAGTTTATTAAATTATAATTTGGTAAAAATAAAAAATTAAAATTTAATTTAAAAGGTGCTGGAAAATTATATAATTTCTATCACAATTTTATTTAAATAATAATTTTTTATATATATTTTATGGAAAAATTATCTTTCAAAATAGATTATATTATTGGTTTTCCAACTATTTATTAAATATTGATATAATTATTTACAACATAGTATTTATTAAATATATAAATAAAATCTAAACATAACTATTATCAATTATCAAATAGGTTCATACAAAGTTAAATAACTGAAAGGTAACATAAAATAATAAATACAATTAAATATTTACATATCTTTATCAAGCATTTTGAATATTTTAATTTTTTTTAAACTTAAATATGTCCAAAGTGTTTTGTTATTAATTTGTGAAAATTTTAAGTATCTTTTCAAAACTTGGATGCAGCCTAAATAAAGTAACTAATTTTTTTGATATGATGATTTGAATATATTTGATAACTTATAATAAAATTATATATTTGCAAAACACTGCCAATTTTGATTAATTTAAATTTACTGCTCAAAAAACATAACCTTAATATTTTAACACTGCAAAATAATCACTTAATAAAATTTTTATATAAGATATTAATAAATTAGCCTTTAAAATTAAAATATTATTACTTGCAGTACAAAATAATTCCAAATATTTCACTTTCAAATCCAAATAGTCAAAGTATTTCTAATGAGAGCAAATAAATTTACATAATAAAATATTATTACTTACACTATAAAATAATGTATGGTATCAATATCTAAATATAATGAAATGAAATGAAGTCCAGGAAGAAAAACGCGAAGATAAAATAAATGATTCCACGAAAAAAATTATAAAAATTTTATATTATTTTTTAAAAATTATATATTATTTTTTAAAAATTATATTTTTACATTAATTAAAAATAAATATTTTAAGTTAAAAATTTTAAACATCCTGAACCCTTGGACCCTCCACTTTTTAAAAGGGTCCGGGTCCGGGTTCAGCCAAAATACGAGGGTCCAGGAGGGTTCAGGGTCTGGGTTCACATCCCTGATATAAACAATCTTAAAGAGATGCTCTTAAAAAGTCTATAAACATATATGGTAATAAAATCTTTATATGTATTATTAGTGTAAAAATATTTTATTTTAAATATGTTTTTGCAAATTAAGACCCTCAGCAATATGGTTCATACTATTTATGTTTGGTACAAAGTGTTATTTTCCATTCGTTTTAAAATCGAAGTATTATATTTATCTTTAAATTAGGAATTTGATATTATATTAAATTATATATATGATTATTATTTTATCATCGATACCAAAAAATTAATTTACTTATTTATTATATTAGTATGTTAAGTGTTTTGTATAAAAATGAATTACAAAATTTAAATTTTAAAAAGAAAAAAATTATAAAATTGTTAGGAAAATTAATTTTTAGCATTCTCTACAATATTTCGATGCATGTTAATAGACTATTCATTTATTTTTGAATATGTTGTTAACAGTTTCCTCCTTCCACTCCAATGATATGATAAATTTAAGACATTTTTCTTCACAATAAATTGGATGCTGTTGCAGGTGCAAAATAGGGAATAATTCTTCCACGTCTCTCTTTTAATTTATATTTGAAACTTACAACTTCTATTTGTTTTCTTCACAAATCTTCAAAAAATTTGCTGGAGCAGAATAACCTATCCAAATTCAGACGTATATTGATGCACAAATTATTGGTTACTTAAAAAAATAACATCGTAACATTTAGTGTCATTCTGCAAAAATAGCAACTTCGTTACATTTACGTTATTTTTTGAAGTAATGTTTGTATGTTGATTTTTAAAAATACCTAACTTTTTAAGTGCTTCTAAGCCGTTACTATAAAGATTGAATTATCAATCGATATATATTTAACACATAAATCCCAAAATTAAAATAAATAAATAATCTGACAGTTTTTAAAATGTAAATCATGATTATGCTACAAAAATATTGATAGCATTTTTGAGAAATTTTAATTATGGTTGTTTTTTAAATACTTTGTTTCTTAGCATTGCTTTGCTATACTGATCAGATCACTTGCTCAATAGGTGACGAGTAGACACGGGTATATTATAAACATGGTTTTCGTGTTTGGAATTTATTAAGGTTTTAATATGTATCCTTTCTCTAGAAGAATTTCCACAAAAAAGCATATCTTATATCAAGAATTAGTCTTGGCACTAATTTCCTCCATAGATATGTCATTTTCATCAATATCTTTCCACTAAAAAGCCCTAGTAAAATTAACATTTAAAAATTTAATAATATTCGTGAATATTAAAATAAAATTATTCGTATTCGATTAATAAATAACAAGTTAATTAACTAAAAATTATTCGATAAAATATTATATTTGAATGTTATTTAAATTTCTTAAATTTAAATCATCTAGATATTCAACCTCACGACATTCTTCTAGATCACACAACTAGTAACTCTCGCAAACGCAGCGGTAGTGGTTCTAAAAAAATTAACACTGGTGGCAGTAGCAAAAGACAAGCTTTACCCGCTTCCACTTCTGGATTTACTTCTACTAAAAAATCCGCCTCTACTTTCTCCTCTTCTAACTCCAAAGTAAGTGCTGGGACTAGTAGGAAGGCCTCGGCATCGGTCATCAAGAAGGAGTCACTGAGGGAAAATTTATCTACTGCACCTTTGGTAGAGGAAACCATACCAATTCCCGTCAAACAAAAATACAATTCGTCTTCCGCCATCGTGCTTGCTCCCACAAATGCACCCGCACCCATTGCAGCTCCCATTTTATCTCAAACCTTTACTGCTACCACTCTGGCTCATTCTGCCGACGTTAATGTGGCTCCCACAAATGGTCCCATTGCCCGTTCCAAGTATTAAAATATTCCAAAATTTACAATATTCTCATTTATACTTCTCTTTTTACGATTTCCCATTTTGCGGTTCCACTTTTTACTGTTCTAATGGGTTTCATCTATTAAATCTGAATCTTCATCTATTCTTACCTAGCTATCATCATTATTATTAAAAATAATCTGATTTATAGGTCTTTACAACCACGCAAGAAAGGTGCAAATATCAAGCGGGGCCCTTTGTTGGATGAAGCATCTCATGTGACTCCCTTGCCCACCTCCGCGAACAGCTCATTTATGCCGCCACCATTGTACGACAGTGACGATGAAGATAATGCCAAGCCTATGTCATACGACGAGAAGCGTCAACTCAGTTTGGACATTAACAAATTACCAGGTCTGACTTATCAATTATGTTTACTTTAAATAGCTTTTGAAATCAGGCAAAAAAATTAGCAAAAATATTAAAATAATTTTGTTTTAAAATTTTTTTAATTTATTTTGAAATTTTTTTTAATTTATTTTGAAAATTTTTTTAATTTATTTTGAAATTTTTTTTGTAATATAAAATTGAAAATATTTTTAAGAGTGATTTTGGCATTTTTATTTAGGTAAAATTTGGTCAAAAATCTTATTTTTTTCAAAAAATTTTTTTTCAAACTGATATGTCACATTTTGCCTGTTCTTTTTTTTCTGCGTGATCATCCAAATTCGATCACCCAAATCATCTAAAACAAGCTATAAAAATCCTTTTACTTGGTGACCAAAATGATTAATAATTTTAAATATTAAAATGAAATATTAAAATGGTAGTTGAATATCTCATAAAAATTTAAATATATTTAAATGAGCCTATTTCTTAAAAATAGAATAATCAATATTGATGAAAGATAATCTCAGTCTGGACATTAACAAATTACCAGGTCTGACTTATCAATTATGTTTACTATAAATAGCTTTTGAAATCAGGCAAAAAAATTACCAAAAATATTAAAATAATTTTGTTTTAAAATTTTTTTAATTTATTTTGAAAATTTTTTTGTAATATAAAATTGAAAATATTTTTAAGAGTGATTTTGGCATTTTTATTTAGGTAAAATATGGTCAAAAATCTCTTTTTTCAAAAAAATTTTTTTTCAAACTGATATGTCACATTTTGCCTGTTCTTTTTTTTCTGCGTGATCATCCAAATTTAATCACCCAAATCATCTAAAACAAGCTATCAAAATCCTTTTACTTGGTGACCAAAATGATTAATAATTTTAAATATTAAAATGGTAGTTGAATATCTCATAAAAATTTAAATATATTTAAATGAGCCTATTTCTTAAAAATAGAATAATCAATATTGATGAAAGATAATCAATTTTATTTTGGCTGATAAAACATTAAAGATATTATGTATAAATTTTTTTATTACAACCACAGTTAGGTCTAAAATGAATATCGACGTTTTTTAAAACCCTATTTTGGTGTTAAATAATTACTTATTAATTTAAAACAAAATAACTTCAAATTTAAATGTTATATAAGTCACAAATTTAAATGTTATATAAGTCAATGATTGCTATTTGGGGAGAAAACATTTTGTCCAGTTGAAAGTTTAAAATTAAATTTTTTCTATATGCATGATATTGCTAATAAATCTATTATATTGTCTTGAAATAAGTAAAACCTGGGTTGGGTATTTGACCACTTGTCAAATATGGCCAAATTCAATTAAATGTTTTAATTACAGTATTCACTTTATCAGGTATATATGTAATAACAAATATACCAAATATATTCATAAATAAATGCATATTTTTAAATTTGGTAATATTTTGATTCATTCTTGAAATATTGTTTCATTTTCTGTGGCAGAATTGTATCTAACTCAGTTGAATAATTATTTTCTTTTATGATTTTAAGTAATCATAAATTATGATAAACGCTAGCTAATTTTCCCTTAATCAGACTTTTCAATCGATTTCTGTTCTTTGAATGAATAATACTCCATACGGAACAATTTCTTTCTGAAGAGCAAGTTGAACTTGGAATGGTTAATAAGACATTTGCTACTTCCTTTAAAAGGCCGGTGGGCAAAGTCCCCTCCTCCAGCTTGATGCTGAATAATGGTTATGAATTCTACAACATTCTACATCCAAATATTTTCTCCACCAGGAAAAAAATTTATTTAAATATGTTTGAAATAACTAAATACAACTGCTTATAATGCTGCCTACTTATTAGATCCCCAATATCAAGGACAACATCTCACGAAAAATGTATTCGACGAAGTTTATGATATCACAGCAGAACTAGGAAGTCTGCTGGTGACAATCAAGTCATCTTAGGTTATATAATAAATTTTTTAGCTGTAAAAGCGGTATCTTTGAGAAGAATTGATTGAACAAAAATTTATCCGATCGAAAATTAGTTATATCAATAAACGTTTCTTCAACGATAGACGCTTTTAAAGCTCTTTTGCCTATTTGTATTGTTACATACATTTTATTGAAGAAGCTCACTTTGTTAATAATTGTACAAAGTAGATGATATGGTATGATGATTTTTGTAGTGGGGAAATAGTGCACTTGGTATATATTTATTAAAAAATTGAACAATATATTAATAATCTTTGTCAATTAAATTATTAATCATTCACAGTATAACATTTTAAAGTATTTGACCAATCAAATATACTTTCGTTTAATTGACCTTATTTGACTTGTTTGCCAACCTTCATATATATAACAATCTATATTTTTTAATAAATTTAGCTTTTAGGTAATAGCCATGCTAATTATTGAAGAAATCACTAGAAATCGATTTGATAAATAAACGAATTTAAAATAAATATAATAGTCGAAAAGTCACACAATGAATCATAACATTCATATTCATATTTATAGATTTTATTGGAATTATTTTACCAAAAATAAAGTGACAAAATCTTAAAATCTGGGTCAGGCAGGAATGGAATCTGGGATAGGTCCGAAAAGAGGTACCTTTGCATGTCTGATATATTATAGATTGTGTCATAATTTTAATTGTTATAATGTGTAATTGCTTAAATTCTTTTAAAACCATTCTCAAGGTGACAAGCTGGGAAGGGTTGTTCACATCATACAATCGAGAGAGCCTTCCCTTCGAGATTCAAACCCGGACGAGATAGAAATAGATTTTGAAACACTCAAACCATCTACACTTAGGGAGTTGGAGGCTTACGTTGGGTCATGTTTGCGAAAAAGAACGCGAAAACCTTATTGTGAGTTACCATTCTTTTTAAAATATTGGCCATTCTAATTTTGTTTGAGAATTATGTTCTACAAATTTTATTTTTAATCAAGTATATTTAGCATTTAAGATTTACCAAATTTTTATGTTATTTAAACGATTAGAGATCTTAGATGTTTTGCTACACTGATTTATTAATAATTGGGAAAAAATAGATGTCAATAGGTATTATTTAATAATAGAAGCAATACTTTGTTACCTAATAATATTAATTTAAACTAATAGCTAAAAAAATCGCACAAAAATCCAAGGACGAGATCGTAAAGGAACGTCGAGAAGAACTGGAGCGACGTCTGATGGACGTAAGCGGGGCTCTTGGAACCGCTCCTTCCAACATCCTCTCTCCCGCTTTCTCTTCAACAACGTACTCGGCCCTTCCTCCCGTCTCCGCAACGCTTTTAGGCCCCACAAATTACATGCCCTCCTCTCAAACGACTGCCGTCATTTCCACATCGTCACTTTCCTCAACAACGACTACTAAAGTTCATATCTCTAATCCACCTCTTGTCTCCACAACACCCATTAATCTCTTTGCCAACTCCAATGCTGTGTTAAATACAAGTTCCATTGACCTCAAGAAGGGTTTGTTTTCTCGCACATAACTGTTTTCTACCCTAATTATCTATTCATTAAATAACTAAGTCTTACCATGCCGAGATTTTTTATACAAACTTATCGATTTATTCCTTACTCACTCGCCTTTTTCTCAAAAATATATTTCTCAATATTTTCTTTATCTTACTCACCTAAAGATATAATGATACAAACTGCTCCTAACCTTGTTAGCCAAGAAACTCTTTCCCTACCAACAGTTACCACAGTTATGACAAGTGGTCGGAGTCGGTTGAGTGCCAGTAGCAGCAGTAGTTCTAGCGCTGGCTCCAGCTCCACCACCGACTCTTCCTCTGACTCCACGTCTTCCCCTGCCTCCGACAATGACCATGACGCCCCCCGCAATCATCCTCGTAATATTTTATTAGCGTTTATCTTACCAATATGTATTAATTTCCATGTGTTAAAATTGAATGGCTTTAATTTGCATTATGAATACATATTATAATATAACCAGGGTTGCCAGATTCACTCAAACAAAAAGCGGGAGAATTTAACCATAATTCAAAAAATTTTATAACAAATATTTTTATTTTTTTCTTGGTATTTTTTTATTTAAATGAATATATCTAATAGAGATCTGCAAAGTTAGGCCCGAGTCAGGGCCGGCCCGAACGGGTTTCGGCCGGGCTCGGGCCTAATTCTATTTAAAATAATTGGGTTCGGGCCGGGCATGATATTTTTAAAAAAATTCGGGCCGGGTCGGGTCGGGTCGGACCTTGGAAATTTTATTAAATATATTTAAATTTATCAATTTTATATTGAATTTTTTATGTAAAATAAAAATATTTGATTTTATTTATTGAAACTAAACGACATATAACATATATGTCTTATTTTGAGTAATTATAAAAATTAATTTCTATATTTAAATAAATTCGGGTCGGGTCGGGTAGGTAATTTTTTAAAAAAATTTCGGGTTCGGGCCGGGCCGGCAAAACTTTTTTAAAAAATTTTCGGGCCAGGCTTGAAAAATTAGGCCCGTGCAGATCACTAATATATAATTTAATCACAATAGTAAAATAAAGGGAGATTATTTTTAATATATTAATTAATAAATATTATTTTAAAAATTCAGTACATATTTTTCAGATTATATGTCATTAATTAAATTTTTATTTTTTATTACATATTCGTTAAGATCTTTACAGTATAATTAAAATATGTTAGATCATTAATTCCACTTTTAAAGCTGTTAAAGATTACCTATTACGGTGAAATTATTAAACTTGCAGTAATTATTATATTTTAAATTGGAAAGTTTTGGAGATCGAAAAAAATAATTTTATTTTTTTTATAATTCTTTGTTTTTTCCTTTATCAAAATAAGGATAAATAAATAAAAACATTGCCTCTTTAAATGTATGATTGAATTAAAATAAAAAATGATAGCGTAAATTTCTGGTTAAGCTATTTTTAATTGTTTTATATTTAAAAATTTATAATAAAATCGGGAGGAATTGTAAATAAATAGACGGCATATGTTGGCATAAACTAAAGTAAAAAGTCGCTAGATTACACCAAAAGAGGGAGATCTGGCAACCCTGAATATTACTCCGATCATTTTTATGGTTTTGATTTTAGACATTTATAGTTCGCACATATAATATTGATAAATAATTATAGCCTTTTTTTGTGAAATTAAAAAAATGTTACCTTTGAAAAATTAAAACCATATTTTAATATAAGGGCACACATATTATTTATATCTTTATTGCTTTTTTATTAGCAGATAAAAGAAAATCCAAAAAGGATAAACAAGTAAAACAAAAAATTAAAATTTGTCAATTTTTTGTCATGGTCGAAATATAATTTATTTTTATATCTAAAAATAATTAGAATAAGACTTTACATGACCAGGAAATCTTGAATAATCCCGACGTGTCACTCAACCTTTCTTCGGTGGTTTATAAATCTACAGGTATAGGATTTTCCCAATTTCATGTATAAATTTTAATAATTTGAGTTGGAAATTAATACAACTTCAGGACAGTATTCTACTTCTCATATTAGTGAAATTAAAAATTTGATAAAATATAAAAATCCTTAAAAAAAATGTAAAACATATTTTTTTTAAACTCTTTTTTTTAGTTGCACTGCACATTACCGAAACTCAATCTCAGAACTCATTTTCTATAGCTTTTTCCAATGCCACACTTGCTTCAACGAAAAACACAACACCACCCTTTTCCCAAGTGAGTTGTTCTTTTAGATATACATTAATATTTAAATGCTAAATTTACTTATATCATCTTAGGAGCGAACGTAAATTATAGAGTCCCACCCTCCATATAATTATACTTGTTATACAAGAATATCGACAAATCTTGTAACTCAGGCAAATTATATAACAATGGTAGAAATAGAAGCCGGCCCAATTTAAATATTGTAGTTGTAAGGGTGTAAGAAAGTAGAGGAAAGGGAAAAGTAAATGATTCTCAGAATGTTATCGTACAAGGTGAGGGAGCATTATTATAAATATTATTAATTAAGCAGGTAAAAAAAGTAAGTCGTCGGTCTAGAATTAGATTGCTCCACATGTGCAAATGTTTAAAATGAGAAAATCAACATTAAAGTTTAAAATCAAATATAGGAAAAACTTATTGATCAATTTAATTAGAAATTTCAGAGATAATTTATCATATTGTTAATTAATTATTGCCTAAAAAATTTTATTTCAAAAGATTTAAATATAAAATTTATTTGATAAAATTAAAATGCAAGTGAAGCAAATATAACACTTTATGATTTTTTTTGATGTTCAAAATGCTCCATTTATCTTTTTTTATTAGAATTTAATAAATATATTCAAAATAATAATTTCAAATCATCGAAATTAACACTATATCTTAATTTTTTTCTAATTTATTTATGTAATAATGATCTTTAACAGTAATTCATGATAGTTCATCACATTTTTTAGAATATAAATCACATATAATTGAGACTTCCCTCAAAGCGCTTCTTTGAATTCCAGTATTTTGATATAAATTTTAGAAGAAATAACTAATATGTTTATTACTTATATCAAGTGTTTGTATGAAAAATGATCTGCAAACTCTAACTTTAACATTCTTCACTAAAAAATATAAGTATTATAGTTTTTATAATTTAAAAAATCTTTTATCCTTCTCTTACATGGAGTCCTAACAATAAATTTGCTATAGAAGGATTTTTAGCTTCATCAGCTAATTTCCAAAAAACCTCATGAATAATTTTACACTGATCTGCATTAACTTTTGACATTGAAATGTACATTTATTAGAATGATCATTCTGAACCATCCTTTCTCTTTTTAATTCACCTTTAATATTGATTGATATAGGTCTCACCACATTCCCTTAGTTTTTTTCTTTCATTTGCTTTGCTTCTAGAAGTTGAAATAATAAATCCTTATATTCTTGGTGTTGTGGATGAAACCGCAGGCTTGCTAGAATTAATATTAAATAAAAATGGTTTATTATTAAGATCTGAAATCTTCAGTAGCTTCATCAAATATATCATAGAATCTATATTCCAAATTTCATATATTTTGGTTGAGTAGCTTTTAAGATATAAGCTAGAGTTATTATGCAATTTTTTTTATAATTATCTGATTAATTATTTTTTTCATTTATTATCATATCAAAGAAAAAAAGGATGTCATAATTCTATCAAATTTTCACTATAATAAAAATGTTGATAAAAATAATTCAAGCAAGCCTGAAATGATAACATTTTATAATATGACTAAAGGTAGGTTTAATATGATATATGATCAAAATAATGAATTATAATAAATTTTAAAAACTATTATTAATAAAAAATTTATCTTGATTTTAAAATAATTTAGGATAGATATGGAATCAAAATATTTAACTATTAAATATGGAAAAGCAACAAATTAAAAAAGGAGGGAAATACAACACATGATTAAATAAGATAATAGGATAGGCCTTGCATATGAAGCTAAAATTACATAGTTATATGCAAATAGTGCAATTGACAGTGCTATAACTTGGCAAAAATGAATATTTTTTAATCTAGTTTTTATTTTTATATATATTGGAAATATATAAGTTATTATCCACTTCTAACTCAAAAATTTTAAAAATGTCTAGTGGAGCACTCTAATTCTAGACCAACGACTTATGTCAAGTGTTTGTGAGAAAAATTATCTGAAAACTCTAACTTTAACATTCTCCACTTCAAAAAATTATAAGTATGAATAGTTTTTATAATTTAAAGAATCTTTTACCCTTCTCTTACTTGGAGTCCTAACAATAAATTTGCTATAAAAAGATCCTTTAGCTTCATCAGCTAAGTTCCAAAAAGCCTCATGAATAATTTTATTCTGATCTACATTAACTTTTTTATGACATTGAAATATACATTTATTAGAATGATCATTCTAAACCATCCTTGCTCTTTTCAAATCACTTTTAATATTGATATAACATTCCCTTAATCTTTTTCTTTCATTTGAAGTTAAAGGGCTAGGTAAAGTAAAAATAATAATTTTTATCTCGATATTTAATGAACAAGTAATGCCTAATAATTTTTTTAAATTATGACCAAGTTAATTATTAAAAAATTGTTATAAATTTCATTGATTAATTTCAAATTCAATTTATATAACTTTATTTAAAGATTACACATGAAAATTATACTAAGAATACTTTAAGATAAAAAAATTAACCTTGACAAATTTGGAATAAATATGGAATGAGAACATGGCAAAAGTTGCGCGCCCCCATTTGGGATTAAATAGAAAATTATATTTTAGGCTGCGTGCCCCCATTTGGGGGTAAATAAGAAAAATATAGGCTAGGTGCCCCCAAACAGGGGTAAATAGGAAATTTTAGGGTGCTTGCCCCCAAATGGGGGTAAATAAGTTAATTATATGCTAGGTGCCCCTATTTGGTGGTAAATTAAGAAAATTATAGGCTAGGTACCTCCATGGAGGCTTTTTTTATAGATTCAAACATTGTTTTTTTTAAAACTAACTTTTTTTTGTAAATTCTAACATTGTTTTTTAAAAATAACCTTATTTTTTGTAAATCTGTTTTTTGTAAATTCTAACATTGTTTTAATAAAACCAACCTTTTTTGTAATCAAACCTTTTTTTTGTAAATTCTAACATTGTTTTTTTACAACTAACTTTTTTTTGTAAATTCTAACATTTATTTTTTAAATTAACTGTTTTTTGTAAATTCTAACATTTTTTAAAAACTAACTTTTTTTGTAAATTTTAACATTGTTTTTTAAAACTAACCTTTTTTTGTAAATTCTAACTGTTTTATTAAAACCAACCTTGTTTTTTGTAATCAAACCTGTTTTTTATAAATTCTAACATTGTTTTTTTTTTAAATTAACTCTGTTTCTTGTAAATTCTAACATTTTTTTTTTTAAATTAACTCTGTTTCTTGTAAATTTTAACATTTTTTTTTAAAACTATGTCTTAAATCTAATTTTATAATATAATATATTGTGACAAACATGAATAAGCTTTATTAGTATAATAAGCAAAATATATAATTTATATCAATATTTTGTCAATGGGAATTGCTGTTTTTCATATTTTTGATAATCTTGATAAAATCCAAACTGCCTTTTCTATATTTCAAAGATTTGAATAGGCCATGGGTTTAATTTCTGGTATAAATATTTTCTTTGGATTCTTAAAAACTTCTATTTGCTAAATTAAAATAAGGTAATAAAAAAAATATATAAATACCTGAATTTATATTGTATGAAAATAGTACCATGCCTTTTCATTCATTAGATTGCATATTTTGCTCTCCATATTCTCTTTATCTATAATAGTAAAAAAAATATTTTTTGATTATATTTTAAATTGGAAACTAATAAAAGAAATTTAAAAATGAACTACAAATAATAACATACTTTCATCATCTTTTTATTTGTCTCTTTCCAAAATCGTGTCAATATCTTATATGAAGTTATAATTTTTTTATATCAAGATAAAATATTACTTTATATAATTGCAGATACTTTCTCCTGTAAGGCTGTGGTAGCATGATGGTATAGATATGAGGTTGTAGCAGTATCTAGAGATTTTAGAATATTTTTTATTTTATATTAGATTTGAGTTATTTTAATCTATTTTTTAAATATGGCTTATAAATATGAAATGATAGGAAACGTTAGATGACATGATCTATCACTAATACCAGAAATGGGGGCACCTAGCTTTAGCGTGAAAATATTTTACTTATTTCAATAAGGAAAGCAAAAAAATAAAAAGGAGGATAATACAACACGTGATTAAATAAGATGATAGGTTAGGCTATGCATATGAGCAAAAATTACATCTATATATGCAAATAGCGCTAAATTGGCAGAGCTATAACTTTGGCAAAAATTAATATTTTTAATCTAGTTTTTATTTATATATATATATTTATTGGGAATAAATAAGTTATCCCCTTCTAACTCAATTGGAGATTGTTTTGGAAGTGGCCTATTAATTATATTTTATCATCTGATATATATATATACATATAGGGAGATTATTGCATTTTTCCAAAAGAACTAGATTAAGTATATTGGTAGAAGGTTTTGGTAAAGTAACAGACATTTATTGATAAAAGATTGGGCTTTTTTGCTGTGAATTTTAGTATCATTCCAAGTTTCAGTGCCATAATATAATGAAGATAATACCAAGATTTTGAATAGCCTAACCTTTAACTAAATAGATAGTTGGATGTAAGACTGAATCTTTATAAATGAACGATATTTAAGTCTAACAGCAATCATCTTTTTCATTATATCTTCCAAATGTTAACTTTCCTGTCTAATGTGACTCCTAAATATTTTAAGCACGTGACTTACTCTTAAAAGCCACATTTATAAATAAGCTATTATGTAATAGAGAGTAGCCACATTATTTATAAATAAGCTATTATGTAATAGAGAGTAGAAGGGTGTCATCTCCTTATCAGAGTTATTAATGACGGGTGACTTCAATGTAGGGGTGTACCGATACCACTTTTTGGAGGCCTATCCGATATCCCCGATATTAAATTGATATCGGCCGATTACCGATCCGATATCATATCTAATTTTGTATTCTGTAAAGATACCAATGCTTTTAATTTTATAATATACTTTTTATTAGTATAACATCTATAATTTAACTCTACCATAACTTATGTCATTTGAATATATTATAATGATCAGTTATATTTTATATTCAATTTAATTGCAATTCTAAAAGTATATAAAATATTTTTATTGTTAAATCACTTTTATATAACATTAATCTATATACATAATAAGTGAAAAACAAATATATTATGAAATTTGAAATAAATAATTAAAATAATATTTAACATTTCGAAGATTTCTTTTTAGAAATACCAAAATTACAAATTTATCAGTTAGCCTGCGGCGATGGTAACTGTCAACATCACCAGCTTCACTAAAAAGAGATTATGATGAGATTATCGACCACTTTTATAAACAAAATGAATGCACAAAAAAATAAAAATAAGGCAGAATGTTTATTAATTAATTATTATTATTAAAAAAGTATACATAAAGATGGATTTCGATTTTATTTATAAAAATAAGTGAAGTTACATATAACTTTTTTTAAAAATTTCATTTTATTTTTGCTAAAGACGTCATTTTATATAGGATCGGACCGGAAAATTTTATTTTGGCCGATAATCGGTATTTTATAATGGAGGAAATATCGGTATATCCCTACTAAAATGGAACGTGTGGGATTAAAAAATTACAACTCTCTAGACATGGAAACCTTAAACTACCGGATGCTGGTGGGAAATTTTTCAGAAGTTATTTCTTGATCTCGATCTTTGTATTACGAAAAAATTTTTGAACATTCTAACCTCAGATGAATTTATATTCATTATAGCAGAGATCAGCACAGCCGGCCCGAAACTTTTTGCCAAGCATGCCCGAAATTTATTTTTTGCCCAGTCCAGGCCGTTAAAATGGTAGCGTTTCAGGCCTGATCCGTTAGAATTTTACGAAAAATCTCTAGCTCGTTAAATTATTTTGGAATTTTCAGATGATCACATTTTTATTATCTACATTTAAATCTATATTATATGTATATTTGTAATTGGATTATAAATAACTTGTTAAAATTTTTGTGAATTTATTATTTTATTTAAACAGCTCTTAAAATACAAAGAAATATAATATTGTAATTTATTAACAAATAGTATTAAATATTAATTAATCAAAATGTTAATTTGGAATTCAAAAAATCTGTATATTAAAATTATAATTTTCTATAAAATAGGTAGAAATATTATTAAATATATAGAATAAAATTATATTTTCATTCATAATTATTATATAAGAATAACAAATCATCAATATTTCCCAACTACTGCACCCCACCCATGTTTGAGGTTAATGGCTTATTTTCTTAAATATTATTAATGTTGCTTAAGATTTAATTTTATTGGTATCATTTGCACGGCTGGGCCCGAATTTTTAAAAATTATATATTTTTGATTTTTATAGCTAATAATTGCGATTTATTTTGTTTTAAAATATACGGCCTGGTCCGGATATTTTTTTTTAAAAAAAATTTCAAGCTCGGCCTGGGTATATTTTTTAAAAAAATTTTAAGCCCGGCCCGGGTTACAAACTAAAATACGGCACGCCCGTGATATATAATAAAATTTAATAATTTTACCTGTCTGATGTACTAATGTTATCTATTGCTAATATTTTATAATAAATAAAGAACAGTTTGATAAGATGTTAATATTTTTATTTTATTAATAGCAAAGCATTAAATATTTATGTAAAAAGTTTTTGAATAAAACAACAATTATGGAGTATATTAAAATAAATGAGGGGAGAGACTAGACAAGAAATTATTTAATTTAATTTTAAAAAATTATAATTTTTGAAGAATTTTTATGGTCGGGTCGGGCTTTGCAGATCTCTACATTATAGCCCATTCTACAATTCTTGGTCCAAATTGACCGTTGTGTTTATCCTAAAACAAGTCTTGAATGTAGGTCTTCAAAAAAAACAAATTGAACAAAAATTATTATTCGATTCTATTCGTCGAATATTTGATTTGATTCGAATTTTTTTTCTAATGGTTATTAAAAATAGATTATAAACATAATTTTTTAAAATGACATCTAATGATTCTAGTAAAACTAAGCTAACTGTCATTAGCATATCTAAATTTGCCGGAAATAACAAGCGAAATAAAACCCAATGATTTCATAACCTTATCCAATATACATAATAATATTAATATTTAAAAAAATTAATTAAATTATCATATATACAACAATTAAATGTTTTACTTCATGAAGATAAAAAAGAAATAATAATAAAATAGAGTGAAATTAAATTTAAAAAATCCACCAGAAAAATTTAATAATTATTATAAATTTTTACTTAATTACGAAAACTAACGAAAAAATAAAATATTTTCAAAAATTTACGGTTATAAACGAATATTTACAAATAATTTCGGATATCACGAATCGAATAATAATTTTTCTCATTCCAATCGAATAATTGTATTATTCGTATTTGTAAAATACGAATCGAATCAAATAATGAATAGTTCATTTTAGGCGACTTGTATGAATTGATAATGTAAAAGTTCTTCATGATGTCGCATTTAACTGATCATAAAATAATCATCTGCTATTATAATAACAATCCTAAATTATATTATAAATAATTGTAAAAAAACTTAAAATGAAGGAAACTAAACCTTGACTCCCTAAGTAATCAAAACGTTAAAGTGGCGCGATTGCGATCGCGATTTAACAGCTGATTGATTTTTAAAATCTGTTTATGAGATCAATTATTCTTTATTAAAATCATTATTTCTTAGATTATTATTAAAATTTGAATTAAAGATAAAATTAATATTAATAAATAAAAATTGATCTCATAAACAGATTTTAAAAATCAATCAGCTGTTAAATCGCAATGCAATCGCGCCACTATGAATTCAATGGTCAGGTAATATTTTCAATAATGCTATAAACTATACCAAGGAGAGAACCTCATTCCATATTGGATTTCTTTGGAATCGAAAAAAATCTTATCTCTAGTTTAGTGGGGATTGGGTACTAATTTATTTAATAAAGAAATTAAAAGCCTATAAATCACATAGCCAAGATGATATCTTTAGTGAATTCTCGAAGCCGAATTTTATATGAGCAAATATATTCACAATTTCAAGTTCACAAGTGACAACTTTGATAAAATGCTTTTTTTTACAATTTGATATTTTTTTGAAATTTTTTTTATAAGATTTTTTTCGGGATTCTAATAAAATGAAATAAAATTAACTATTTTTGCAGTAGCGTGTTCCAGACCTTTCTGAAACATAAACTGGAACACATTTTTTTTGGTCGGAACGGAAGAGAAAAGGCAAAAATGCCTTTGTTTCGGATCTCTAATTTAAATTAGTATATTTTTTTTGTTCATTAAGTTTATTATTAAAAAAGGGATATAAAATAAAGGTCATATAAAAAACAATTAACGATTATATAAATATAGCGCATATATATTATATAATTTTTTAAAAAAATTTAAGAATTGAAATCGTTTTTGCCTTTAAAAATGTTTATTTCATAAAGATCCTTCAATAAAAATACATGAAACTTTGGGAAAACATAGTTTAATATAAAATGCGGGATTTTTGAACAAACCTGATCAAAATATTGATAGGTCTATTTGTATTAACAATTTGAAAAGCTCTGGGATGTTTCCCCAGTTTTATGTTTTTATTTAAATAAAACCTATAAGCTTAAGTCTCTAGTTTACTAAGAATTGATCACCTAATGTAATTGATTTATATTGCTTAAACACATTAGCTGAAGTATCATATATTAAATGATCATCAATTACGAATTTTTTTTATTGATTTATATCTTTTAGACTCTCAACATCTCTACCCCTTCTGTCGATCCGCCTTCTATCGCGACCACAAAAAACTTCGATAAAAACGAGACCACTTTTCCGCTCGTTTCGGAGCACAATGGGCTAGCCGACATTTCCGCTCGCATAGGCCTGAACAAAATTATACCAGCCATGCCTCGCACCACTAACTCCCTCAATTCCACTGATGGTAATTTTTTACAACAATAATAAATATAATCGAGATTTGTGATCCTATTCCCCCCCCCCCTCCCCCACTTAGTTATTTTACCAAATTAAAACGTTACGACGAAACCTCAATAGTTTTTTATGCGATGACTTAAGGAAAAGCTTAGGGCGATTCCTTGTCAAATTGATTGTGTCTCGACCGACTCTTTAAGATTTTTCAAAAATTTAATATGTAAAGTAAGGTTAATGTATTAAGACTCATGCAAATATTAGACTCCTAACGGTCATAGAGGTCAAAGCTTGAAAATAATTCTTAGACTCCTAGCAGTAACAGTCATAGAGGTCAAAGTTCGAAAATAATTCTTTTTGTTGTTATTGGCCTAATTATTGATATATTAAAAATATATGATTGTAAATAATTTTATTCAAAAAGATAGTTTAGATGTCCTTTTTTCAAAAAAATAATATAGTAACTGGCAGGGTTGGGCAGTATCGCGGATATTTATATGATACAAAGTATCTTATATCTTTTTTAAAATTTTGGAAAGTATCTTGTATCCAGTATCTAAGATACATATTATTTAAAAGTATTTGTATTTTAACCAACTTTGTATTCAAAAAGATACAGATACTTTAAAAAAATTATATTAGTTAATTTAAATATTATTAAAATTTAAATGATATTGTTTTAAAATTTAAATGAATAATTTAATCAGAATTTAGATATTTTAAGATAATTTATGATATATGACATTGGTCGTCATATAGCAATTTGCTAACAATTAGAACTTCCATATTTTATTTGAATCGTTTTATATCCATCTATTTTAAAATAATGAAAGAAGAAAATAGAATAATATGTTTATCTTCATCTTCAGATGATTCTCCAATCGAAAAATATAACTATAAATTTAAATTATGTATTTTAAATTGGAAATTTTTTAAAGTACTTCAACATGATCATAATAAAAGCAGAATGTAAAGAATGCCATATCTATAAGTGGTTCTGCAGACTCGTCATCAAATTTTGTCAAGCATCTAAAATTATAATATATAATTATTTAATAAATCACATTTATAATTATCATTTCATATTCCCACATTCGTTGTCTGTGCCATACGATAAGTCTTATTGCCACAACAGATGTCGAGAAAGCTATTGAGGATTCTCCTAACATTTCTAAAATTCATCATCCCGCAATAGCCAAATGTACTAAGCTATGGAATGCTAGTAATGGGCCTAAAACTGCAGAACTTTTCAAAGCAGTTTTAGGAAAACAATTAGTTACACCTTGCTGCACAAATGTTTGATAGTCTTAGTAGTTTATTAAAATTTAAAGGCGAACTTCTAAATTATGTCAAAATTAGAATTTCCAAAATTAAGAGATATTGAAATTCAATATTTAGAAGAATATTGCAATATAATGTCCCCATTGGCTATAGCGATTCACAAAATACAAAGTGAAATCAACTGCTATTATGGAGAATCAGCTCCAATATTAAATGTCGTTAAAAAAATTACAAATTAAATTCATACAAACCATTAGCTATTGCCTAGAAAATTCTTTAAATAAAAGATTTAAAAATATATATGATGATAATAACTTTAAAAGCGCATTTTTGGCAACTATTTCTCATCCCTATTTTAAAAATCGTTGGATTGATGGTGAAAAAGAAAAAAAATACTTTCAGGATTTGTTAATACATGAAGCTTTCATTATTTTTAAAAATAATATTGAAATTAATACGTCAACAAAATCTTCAATTGATGAAGATGATGATTACTTTTGTTTTAAAAGTACCACATCCAAGAGGTCCTAAATTATATGAAAGATGACAGGCGCAGTATAAATATGTTAAATAGTTATAAATATATAAAAGAAATATTTATTAAATATAACACAATATTACCCTCCTCTGCCCCCGTTTGCTAATATGGTTAATAGACCATATCATCAAAGATTGAACGATAAATTATTTGAAAAATTAAAAATATTAAAAAATAATGCTGATTTATGATGTTGATTTATTATTATTTACTAATTATACAATTATTAAAAAAAATATCGCATTATCTTATATAATAAATTTGTTATTCTCTACAATTTATTTTAAATTAATTTTATAAATTTATATTATAGATAAGAAAATAAAGCTTTATACATTTTGATTTTGACTATTTAAAGTTTTTTAAAAAAGTATCTTGTATCTTAGATACTTTTTAAAAAAGATACAAGTATCTTGTATCTTATATCTTATTGAAATTTTTCTAAAGTATCTTGTATCTTAAATACAAAATATTATAAAGTATCTATATCCGAATACAATTTTCTGAAAATTTGCCCAACCCTGGTAACCGGGCCTATTTTTTTTAAGGATAATATAAACTTTTTGACTTGATTTAAAAAATAACAAAAAAAATCCTTCATTTTCCTGATCGCAATTTAAAGGGTCAAGTTTTATAATTTTAGGCCCCATAGTAACGTTGCTAAACACTATCATGTTTTATAGTGAGTTTATTTAAGAAATTATATTATTAGCCTTTTAATTGTTTATTCGAATTTCCTCTAGTTTTTACCTTTTTTTTCCACAATATATTCTCCTTACCATATTATCTATCGACAAATTAAAAATTACACTTTTTACTGCTGAATTCTCTCCCAGTGTTATGTAACCATCTGAGACATGAATTTCATTCTCCTTATTATAGATAAATAAAAAAAAACAATAAATCTTCATTTAAAAAAAACTGCAGCCAAAAACATAGTCACAACCATTTTTAACCTTGTCGTTAGTGCTCCTATCTCCAGCTTGAGTCCTTTATCGATGATTTACACTTCCGATACCAGCTCCGGCACCAAAATTAAAGACTTCGTTCACAACAGCTTTGAAGCATTTAGAAAACAAGCCCTGGAAAAGGAAGAGAGGGTTAGTTATGATCATTTTTTTTACTAAGTAGTTAAAATTTTAATTTAATAATTTTTACTTTTAATTAGTTTTCCTACTATCTATATTTTAATTGTATATATATTTTTTTAATTTAATAATTTTTACTTTTAATTAGTTTTCCTACTATCTATATTTTAATTGTATATATATTTTTTTAAATTAATGCACTTTATGTTTAATTTAGAGCTACTTTTTAAAATGTGTATAGAACAGAACACCTATCTATGATTATCCGTAATTAGTCGATTTGGTTTACAATTTTTTTAAAAAAATACAGCAAAAGCAGTTAAAGGAACAGGAGGAGAAAAACAAACAAGTTGAAAAAAATAGCATGGAAAAACTAAAAAAGAAGTAATATTTTTTATATATAGTATACGTTTTTTAAAAGATATTGAACCCACCCATTCTATCTAAGTCTATAATTTTTATTTCTCGTACCCCCATCACAACTTTACAGTGAGTCCGAACATGCCGTTTCTCCCAATATACCCCATTATTCCGTAATTTCTAACGGCACTACTGCAGCCTCAGCATACTTTATCAGTCCTTCCTCTATTCCGGGAGATCTGCCGCCTTCCTTCAAAAAAGCTATCCTTCCCCCTACAGCCAGCCATTTACCTGACCTCCCTAACTCAGCTTCACCTGATTTGGCCCGAGAACGCCAGAGGCTGAAGGAGATGGAAAAACGGCGGAGGGAAATGGTGAGAACATTATTTTTTAACTTATATATATATTTTTCAAATTAAAAATTGATGCCATAAATATTTTATTGGGGGGGGGGGGGAGATATTTAATAAAAACAAAAGTAATAAATTATGATTTTTTGCAAAATTGTTATTTTCCTCTCGTTTTCTTTTATTTTGACTAATTAATTTTCTTTTATAAAATCTCTGTTTATCACCTTGTTTGTGCTCAGAATGAGGTAATTGAATCATATATATTGTTATTTTATCTAGCTTACTATATTAATCTATCCTACCAAATTTATAAATAATAAGAATGCCGGATTAATCGATATCAATAGACAGAGCGACATCATGTCATCCTTCGAAAAGATGTTATAATGCAGAAATTTGAAATTGAAAAATTCAATCATTATTTTAAAATCGTTATGGGGTTTTTAAATGTTTATTAAAAAATGTTATTTAAAAACACAACTAATTGTTAAACATATTTGTCGTTATCATTCATATATGAAAATCTCTTATTTTATTATTTTATTTACAGTTTTTTGCCCATTATACGTAATTTTATGAAAATTTACATTTATTTATTGCCGTATAATCTAGATCTTATTATTGAAATGTAATTACTTAAAGATTTCGTGTTATATATTTTGTTTTTTTTTTAAAAAAAAATTATTAATTAATGTAATAAATTGTTAAATTTTTTTTAAAAAAATTAAATTTATTAATTATACTACTATGTATTTACACAACTTATACAATGATGAAGATTGCCTAATTATTTCACATTTTGTAGACATCAAGTTATGAAGATAATATTTTTATCGAGAAATATAACATTTTCAAAAATATTGGGTTCCTTATATTTAAAAATGCATAATATATATTTTTTTTATTACTCTATAAAAAAAAATTATATTATGATTTTAATTAATATCACACACATTTGCAACCTTTTTATTCAATTTATACTCGAAATTATGATAAATTTTATTGCTAGATTAATTATAAATATCTTTATCGTAATTTGATAATTGTATGGTTAGAGTAAACCCTTCTACGCATTAATTTTCTTTAATATCCTTCCGTTTTATTAATTTTTTCCAAATATTGACAGGTTCTAAATGCACTGTGTTCCAATAGAACTGATATCCTTTTTGTTTTACCAATAAATCTGTTAATCCTAAAAATAAATCAATAAAATTATATAGGATGAATTATAAATGTTTTCTGCAAATTTCATTAATCCCTATGAACAGGGTCCAAAGTTATGCACATTCAAAGTTGAACAAACAAAATTCGAACTTTTCTACATTTAAAAATTAATTTATTGATTTTTACATTTAAGCAGACGATTGATAAACATTCGTATTGAGCCAAGACTGAACTGGCACCCACAGAAGAATTTGTCAAGTATCTCGAGAACGGATATTTCACAAACTTCAGTGCATCAAATTATCCACAAAGAACTGCATCTGAAATTTTTAAAAATGAAACAAACCCAGGGTCTACTCGACACGAATAAGATTGCCCGTCTAGTACCTGCCAAACAACTTACCCTCAGAAGTTAGTTCATTTTATATGGTTCATAGATAAAAGGCTGTTTACAGTAACTCCACTGGTTAATCTGCAAAATGATAGGGTGTACGTTGCAGCTTCAATGAGAAAAAAATAAGTTGCAGCCCATCAGTTTCCAATGCATATTTGACTTAATTAATTTTAAATGTTGATGTTTTCTTGTTTTTGTTTAATTGCAAAGTTTAATATAAATTTTTACATTTTGAAAAGTTCGAATTTTGTTTGTGCAACTTTGAGTGTGTGTAACTTAGGACCCTGTTGATAAAATTTGCCAAAAAATTTTATTAAATTATTTTAAGAATTCTAAAAAATTATATAAGTTTATATTTTTAAAAGTTCTATAATCGACTTTTCATTGCCCTCTTGAGATTTTGATTCGTAACATTATTGATCATATTTCATGGCATTAAGTGATGTAATTTGAGAAAGAAAAAATTCGATTACGGAAATTGGAATAGTCATACTTTTGGGCGATACACCAAAAAATTATCATATTCGTTATAAATTATAAAGGAAACATGATATTGATCTTATTGTCTCATTTAGGGCTCGGACCAAAAATAATATTGTTTGACTGCCCAGTAGTCATCAACGAGAAATCATATAAACGAAAAATAAGTTAATTTTAAATCCATAATATATTTCAAAAAAATAAAAGAAAAACACCTTAAAAAATTTAATTCAAAAACTTAATTATTTCTAAATTTAAAACGATTTAAAAAAAAAATTTAACAGGTTATTTTTGTTTCCGAAAATTCATGATAACTACTCCAAGTGATCTATGCCTACGAAAAAGGAACAAAATAAATATTAGTTTTTTGAATGGTAAGTGGAAAGAAATCCCCTGGAAAATAATTTCCTAGAAAATAAATTTCCATACAAAATTATTCCCCGGTAATAAATTTCCCATTTTTTAGATTTTAAATTAAATATAGGGGGAAATCCCCTGAAAATTATCAAAAATAACCCTGCCGTTAAAATAAAGAAAATTTTCTAAAAAATTATATTCAGTATTTTCTAAATGTTGAGTATTCTCGACTTTTGAGGATTTTTTTTAAGCCTTATATCTTAATTCTAAGCGATATAGGTCAATCTTAAAATATGAGAATTGTTAAATCGGTTCGTAGGCTTGATATTTTATAATTTAGTAGATAGCAAAAAAGTACAGATTTGTGACATATTGGAAAGAAAACATTTAATAAAACAATTTTTATCAAATAGAGGAGACCACGTTGAATTGCAAATTTCCTATTTCGGAATATATACATATAATTATATCATTTAATAGCTCAATCATTAGCATTAAAAACAAAAAAGGGCGCTATCTAAGAGTTACTAAAAGTCGTGATATTATTTTTGCCAACTAATGACAAATATCAAATTCATGACAACACAATATATTTTATATTCTAAAGATTATCAGAAAAGGACTTTATATATTGCATAACAAAATTTACCAAATGAAAAATTGGCCAACTATTTTTGAAGGCAATTGTGAAAAGCCTCAATCTCCGACTGATTTAAATTTTTAATATATTTCTAAAAACTTCATGGAGTTGAGATGAAAAATCCGTGCCGGGCAGTGCAAATGGTACCTCTGCTGGTCTCTGATATATATAACTGGAATGAAAGAAATAAGTTTAAAATTTAACAACCATAACTTAGAAATTAGTATTTGAATCAAGTATACTTTGCATCTAGGTTAAGATACTATCATATTGTGAAAATGATAGGTAGAGAAATTATTAAATTGAAGCTCAGATTTAATTGATGTATAAATTGGGGACTTCGATAATCTTTTTAAATTTGCAGGGCTTATTTTAAATAAATAAAACTCCAATCCAAAATTTACCAAAAAATAGGACAGAAAAATTTTTCGAAGCTCATCCAAATTTTAATTGAACTTGACATTACTGGTACAGAGAAGAGATAAATATTTAATATTTATTTCATTCCTTTATTTTGTTTCTTATGTAATGTAAATATTTAACAACTAGGCATTTATTTTACCAAGTGCTGGTTCTAAAAAATATTATCTAAAATATGTGCTTTATATCACCTGAAAAATGTAACGTCTTTACTTTTTCGTTACTTTCCCTAAAAGAAACGCGTTACGTTACTTTTTTATAAAAGTAAATATATTATGATTGAGAAATATATTGACAATTAAATTTTAAAATGCACTAAATAAAATTTACAATAATTATCAAAAATTGTTTTTCAAAATTTTGATCAGATATACACATACGTTTAACACGTAACATAATGGTGTTGTGTTTGAGACACATAACTCTTGCCCGAAGATGGATAGTGTCATTGTCGTAAAGGAGTTAAAATATTATTGCGTAAAATTTTGTTTTTTTTCTATTACTTTTATATTGATATCTATATCAAAATTTGCTTTCATTTCTTTTAAATTGACAAAACACCCTCCTTAATTTTCTATTACTATAAAATAATCTTAATGATTACTTCTATTTGGAATAATGCTTTAAAAAATCTTTATAATCTACGAATGAGTAATATATAGGCACATTTAATTTTTTAATCAAATTTTCATACAAGAAATTTGTTATAAATTATTTTTTAAAAAACAGTGTTTCTCCAAAGCGCTATAATTCGTATGTGATTTACGTTTGACCTTTTCTTTTCAAGTGTGAAAGCGTACTTTGTATTATTTTACTAGACAAGCTCCATCTTAGCCTTTGTGGGTAAAAAATGCTTGTAATTCCTTTGAATATTGCCGTAACCAATCCATCTTATTTCGGTATTACATTTTTAAATGCCATAAGTCTACATTTTTTCATTCATAGAAGATATTTTATCCATCATCATATTAGAAGTGGAAGAGAATAATCGATGGATAAGATTTACAAAAAATCGTAAGATAATCTTTAGAGATTCTAAATTTTTTGAGGATTGTTTCCATCATTCAAAAGGGGTTCCATCTGAGGGTAGTAGGGGAGGTGTTTTTGGAAAAATGTAGCGGTGCTCCAGGAGCGTCGTAACAACTCTGCTTTTAAATAAAAGAGTTAAAGAGTTTAAATTTTTAAAAAGCAATGATTTCATAGAATTAAAAAAACAGGTATTTAAATTTAATTACATTTAACATTGTGGAGAAAAGGGAGTTACTTAAAATAGCAAAATATTCTGAAATATCACAAGAATGCATATTCATTCCTATTATTTCCACAACCTAACAACCTTCGGAAATTTTGCATTTTCCTTTCAAGGAACTTGGCTCGCACATTTGTAAGCTTACGGATGAACCTCGCGTTGGCTTTTTCTTAGACAAAGACACGCCATAGCAATTCAAGCTTCATGGGCAGCCTCATACCCAGGGTTGCCAGGTCAAAATTTTCAAATTGCGGGAGATATTTAATATTATGCGGGAGAAATATGAAAATTGCGGTAGAAATATAAAAATTGCTAAAAAAATATTTTTTGATGGCCATCGGCCGGGATTTTGAATTGACTTAATTATCCGCCTATTATTTTTTATAATTAGTTTATATAAATACAAAGTCTATAACTATTTTTCAAAATAAAATAATATCTTGATTAATTAAAACATATTAATTTAAAAAAACCAACGATCTTTTTTAAATATAAAAGAATGTAAACAAGATAAAATTTTATAAAAAAAGAACGATTTTAATTTTACAATTAAAAATATATTTTATGCGAATGTCCCATAAAACGACCGCAATTGGAAATCTACCGTGTGTGTATAACACATTATAGGGATAGGCGCTTAATTATCACGTATCACGTTTAAATACATAATAAGGTACTCCAAAAATAAGAAATAATACAAGATGCAACTAAAGTAGCGGTAATTGTAATCACTTATCTTGTAGTACAACATTCACAGATAAACTTATCTTTACAATGTTGGTAGAATCTTTTTCCCATAATATATAACGACTCTAATATAACTGAAAACAATACTTGAAGAATAAAAATGAGCAAGGCTATCATCAATACTTTAGGACCTAAATCCAGGAGGTATGGGCCTACATATGCAATTCTAACAGATGC